GCATCTCCATACTATATCCCTTTGAAGCCTCAGCCTCTATCATTCATCAGTCACTTTTCTCTGTGATCCATACAGTCCTTGGTCCCACTCTTACTGCTGTTAGGCTATTAGCTTTCTCCGCCATCAATCATTTTGATTTGGAACTTTATGTGAAAGAACACATACCTTGCATCCCTTTAGACATGCTTGCAACCAATAGTCAACCAATCAGCAGAGTGCAACGCTAAAGTGTGCAGCACTCAGTGGCCAGCAGTGAGAAGCATGCACATCTACAGAGATCCCGAAGATGTGTTCTTTCATATAAATCTTTCCAAAAAGATACAGGGCTGAAAGCTGTGATGTTTTCAGGAGCCTTCCAGGCCTCTCCCACCAAACAGCAACAGGCAGACCCAGTGATGACACCTAATCAATACTCAACAATCCCCCTTCATTAGGGCTTAAGCAATTCCTTGCATACACTGAAAGGGAAGTTATATTAAAGCTTCATGTGTTTCTTTTATATTCTTAAGAACAACAAGAAATCCTTTGTGCTTTATTAAAAATGATCACTTCTTGTTTTCTAGTGGCTCCCCGCAATACTCTCCCCCACCCCCTGCATGGGTACTTTCATCAGCTAAGCAGCTGCTATCGGGCACCCGTGCATGCTCGTTCCTGGCCGTGCACGCAAGTGGCTGTGTGCGTCCATGCACACACACAGTAGTGCGGCAGGTCACCCCCCTACTCTTCCCCCAACAGGTTGATTGACAGCAGAAGGAGCCTGTGGCTCCTCTGCCCTCAATCTCCTCTTCTGCAAAAAGGAAGTTTGGATGGAGGATCGCTTTGGGGATCAGCGGCGGTGACAAGTGATGCTGACAGGTAAATGTTGGGGGAGACAGGGGATCAAAAAAGGTACTAGGCGTTTTTTACCTTAATACAGGGAATGTATTAAGGTAAAAAAAAAAACGCCCAGCCTTCAGTAATCCTTCAACTCAGGAACCTTTGTATTAGGGCTTGTGTATCAAAGACAAAAAACAAGTAGTTAATGGATTTCATTAATGTACAGTTTTGCAATCAGTCCTTATGTATTGTGTACTGACTGCACAATATTTTTTTAACTATTTTATTGAACTAATACACTGTAATTTTTAGTTCTTGAAAAAACCTGCCTGGACTTTTCCTCTTAAATTGCTGCCTACTAAAGCTGCTTACATAGTGTTCATTGAGTCTTTGTTGTACAATATTTCTGGCTATTGCTTGTGAAATAAAACATGCATTGCCTCTCCCTTTGAAATTGCAGCCTAATAAAGCTGCTTACATATTGTGCATTGACTGTGCAAAATATTTGGCTATACTATGTTTAGGGAGGGATCAGGGAGGAGTGAAACATCCCTCTTAAAGCCTCCATAAAAATTGATCCCTTCTTTACTGCCAGCACCCCAACAGTCCTTCTCCTTCTAACTGCCAGCATGATTTCCCTCCTCTATTTGGTGCATCCTGCACTACCCCCTAACACTGCCCCTCCTTTTTTTTTTTGCCAGCACTCCAAACATCCTACTACTCCTCATATTCCTTCTCTGTCTCCTGCTGCCTCACAGCATTCAACATACTGGTGGAGGGCAGGTTTTCTGTGGAAAGTAATGGTGGCTTGCATATGCTCTTCAGGGTAAAATGATGGCAGTTGAGTACCTGACATTGCTGTGTAGCACAGGACACAAAAAAAGGCATACACATGGTGTTAGGCAGAGCTGAAATGAAGACACTGGGCATGGGGGGGATTTGGGAAAATGTTTTTCTTTCGTAGCAGCCAAGCAGAGGTTTGTGGACTAGCCCTTGGGATAGCAGCCACCAAAATTTCTGCCAACTAGCAGAGGAGGAGGTGGAAAAGGGTGCAGGAGGAGCACTAGAAAGGCAATTGGCTGCTCTGAACCCTTAAAGTGATATTAAATTTAAGATGTTTCTAGGCTCTTTCTTTCTAGGCTCTTTCAAATGCTGATTAAATTGCTTACAATGGATGCTGCTCTTTGATGTTTAAAAGTTTTAGTTTCCTGCACAATCAGCTGGACATCTGAGCACTAGCCCTGATATCCTGTTTCACGGTGGCTTCTTTCCTTTGCAGGGTTCTATGGAGTGTGTGTGCTAGTAAGCTATGTGTGTTTCCACAAACACACAGGGGTCTATTCACGAAGCAGCCACAGGATCTAGCCGTAGCTTCGGCTGATCCCTCGACTAGCTTCGGCCCCAGGACCCCTTCGGTTTTACTGATAGCCCGTACAGCTCCCGAAGTGGGCTGAGTGGAAGGCATATGCAGAGGTGAAAGCCGAAGCTGGCCGAGCGGCCGGCCACTGGCCGAGCGGCCGGCCGACGGCCTGCTTCTGACAGCTGGGCGGAGCCAGCCGTGATCTTACGGCTGGCTCTGGCCCCTTGCCGAGAGATCAGCGTTCCTGGTTACTAAGTAACCAAGGACACTGATCTCCAGACAGCCCAACTCTCCCGGGCGCTCCGGGAGTCTCCCGCTAAAGGAAAGTTTTGTTCTGCACGATCGAGCAGAGTAAACCTTTCCCTGCTTTTTTTTTTTATTCTGACATGGAGCCGTCAGAATAAAAAAAAATGTTCACAAAAAGAATGCATTGCTAGATTCCTATTGGCTATTTCAATTTGCAATAGCCAATTGCAAACTAGTTATTGCACCCGCCCACTGCTGCTGTCAATCAGCAGAGGGGACCTGCAGTTCTCCATCAGGTCCCCTCAAGTTTTTTTTTTTTTACGGCAGCAGAACCGCCCAGCAAATAGAAAACAGTTGGGCAAAGCTAGCTGTCACTGCTAGCTCCGCACAATTGTTTTCATTTTTTCTACTTTTTAAACAATGTTTCTGTTCTGCTCTGTCCCACAGACCGAGCAGAACAGCCGAGCCGAATGCCGCTCGGCAGCATTCGGCTATTCACTATTCACTCATTGCTGTTCGGCATCTATAAGAATAGACCGAACAGCAGCGAGTAGCCTGCCGGAGGTTCGGGCCGGCCGAACATGCTAAGCATGTTCGGCCGACCCGAAACCACCCGATGTACGGCTGATTTCAGCCGACATACGGCTGGAACCAGCCATACCAGCCTGAAGTGAATAGCTGAACATTGTTCGGCTCACTTTGCTTCAGGTTGGTCGTTCACTCGGCTGCCTACGGCAGCTTAGTGAATAGACCACACAGGCACAGCAATGCAAGCCATTTTTCCCCCTTCTCCCCACTCCTCCATCCTCCCACCTCCCTTATCCAATCTAATAGATGGACAGCTGCTAGAGACTGTGCTGTCCCTTATGATCTTGTACTGGACAGTACGTTCAGGGAAGCTGAGCTGAGAGAGTTGGAGCCAACTGTTTGAAAACATGATGAATGGGCAAAAATGTAAACAAATACTTTGCTGAGCAATGTATGTTTGTTTGATCTGGAATCATTATTACAAAAAAGTTTGGTTTAACACTACTTTAAGGAGGCGGAGGAGTAGGAAAAGGGCCCATTAGCAGGCCTAGAATAAATGGATTCTATGCTCCCTTTAAGAGGAAAAGGGCAGATAAGCAGGCCCAAAATACACAGCTGCTATAATCCCTTCAGAAGGAAGACGAAAAAAAGAGCCACAAACTTTATGCTAGACCATATGTGAGAAATTAATGTAAAATAAATGTATATAAAAGCTACAAATACAACATCACAGTTTTGACAGCTGAGTCTGATACAGACTCCTTCTGTCCTTTGCCTTAAAGCAAGATTTTGGGAAGGGTGGGTAGCCTATGGCCAAAGGATTAACAAACAAATGTTTTACTCTTTTATTTGCAAAAATAAAATAAAAAATAAATAGCAATACTATAGTCTATGAAATATATTTGGTGGTAATTGTTATGAATCAGTGTAGATTTGGCTTGCAGAAAGTGTACACTATGTACAGGTGAAACTCAAATAATTAGAATATCATGCAAAAGTAATTGCAGTAAGTGCTGCAAAAGGGGCCCAAACCAAGTACTGAGTACATATGCATGCTTGTACTTTTCAGAGGTCCGATATTGTTCTATGTACAATCCTTGTTTTATTGATTGCATGTAATAATCTACTTTTTTGAGGTTGTGGATTTGGGGTTCTTGGGGTTTTCATGAGCTGTAAGCCATAATCATCACAATTATGACAAATTACGGCTTGAATTATCTTGCTTTGCATGTAATGAGTCTATCTCATATATTAGTTTCACCTTTTAAGTTGCATTAGTGAAATAAATGAACTTTGCACGATATTCTAATTATTCGAGTTTCACCAGTATACGCCCCATTACGAGGGTCGGAAAAGTCTACTTTATTTATTACTGCAGCAAGGTTGTCTGCTTTATACATCCTATGCAAAACAGGCCATATGTAGGTAAAAGTACTGCATTAGCCCCAGGTGGTGCTTTACTATAAGGCCAAATTGGCTATTTTTTATTCAACAAGTAACGTTAGTTTAGTTTGTGAGAGAGCCCCTGTGGCCCTCTAACATGAAAAATATATCCTACAGGATCATGAAACTTCGTATTTGCTAACACAGACTTTACTGTTGTTAAGTGTTGTTTCCACCTATTTTATATGGCTGATTTAAAGTTAAAAAACTGTCTTCATTTTGAAAGGATGCAACATAAAACTGACATTTTGACATTTGGGTCCAGGTCCAAAAGCATCAAACAGCCAGCGTTTGAAAGCCCCAGGGCATCAGATATGCAATATATTGTTTGCATCCCAGAGCATTAACTGACACTGGTTTCCAAAGCATTAACACATAAATGTTTGATGTTCAAACCTTAAAACAACCCTCCTATACATTTCCCTGTGATTGAAGAAATAAATTAGTTATTTCATTATGTTATATGTTATAGGCATCCATTGTGGTTTCAGCATTTTAAACATTTACTAATCTTCGCCCCTAATCTATTTGTAGATAGACAGATATGTGTGTTTGGGTATTTGGATGTCTGTTTTACTGTTTGTGTTTTTTCTGGAATATCTTACAGACTGCGGATCTGGCAGATGTGCCTGAAGAAGGAGATAGTTCATATTTATTGGATGTAAATAGACAACGGAGTGATAGTGGTGAGTTTTTTTCCAGCATGATCAATGTTATTCTGAAATATGCTAATTATATCTGATAACATACTGCAATCAAAATAAAGAAAATTGCAAAGGGGTATAAAAATGCCTACATTGGTTCCACATTTTATAAACGGGTGGTGGCAAAATCAGGTGTAATCAAATTTAAAAGGTATTGGATATGCCAAAAGCAAACAAAGTGCGTATGCATTTATAAATAGAAGGTATTACAGGGATTACAGTGGCACTAACCTCAGGAGTTAAATCTAAGAAATGCACTCAAGTACCTTAACTATTAACAAAAATGGAGCTTATGTGTGTATCACTCAGCTGTAGATCCTCAAATCATCTCTGAATTGGTGAATAATAATAGGTATGCAGCGCTATGGGTGCAAAGCGAGTACAATGAGTCCAAGCACCGGCGCGTCCCCAGTGTGTCATGTGACCTCAGCCACCTGCACCGCACACTGACAGCATCCTGGGGAGTGTGTGCAGAGACTGGGGGGGGACATCTGCACTGATCAGGTAATCTATCGATTTATGGAACATCGGTGGGAGAGCTTATAACTAGATGCGAGGACTTCGCGGTTTATCAGTGAGCCTACTATTGTCAATATACAATAATATTGTGGTGAGTGTGCACTCTTAAGGGGGTGTTGGCGTGGATGCAAACACGGTATCGGAAAGATCATCAAGCACTTTTGGGATTGTGTTTCTACACACGTTGGATATAATAACACTAATTTTCACTATCTATCATTGATCAACCACATTGGATATGACACAAGTGGACTTTTTTGAACTTATATATTCTCTATGAGAGATTTTTTTCACTTTTTGTATTTATTGGAATACGTATTCATGAATTTATATTTTTGCACTTATATTTATATGTATATTTATGTTTATATGTAAAACACACACTACACAATTTTGCATTTTTGGCACCTTTTGCAACAATTTGATTGATAATAATTCATAGTTTATACTGAGATAATGGTTTATATTTTTAACACATGATTTGTATACTGTTATACCGTATATACTCGAGTATAAGCCGTCCCGAATATAAGCCGAGGTACCTAATTTTACCCAAAAAAATGGGAAAAAGTATTGACCCGAATATAAGCCGAGGGTGGGAAATGAGGCAGCTACTGGTAGATAGATACCAATAAAATTACATTAATATTTATTTAAAAGAAAAATAACCAAGCTCTGTAAGTGGAAAAGGGGGTACAGGGCTACATATCATGTACTACGGATCATTTAACCCATTCATATTAGCAGAGGATAATTGTAAATCTATTGTTCAGTGCACACACAATCAAAAGAGGTTTTCTGTATTAATTATATTTATGCACAACCAATGGATATTGGTTTATCATTAGTCTTTAGATTGGACTCATTGTACTAGCTTTGGACCTATAGCGCTGCATACCTATTAATATTCACATCTTGACCATAGTGTCTATAGTACAGCAGCTGTAATAACATCTATTAGTTCTCCAAATCCACCCATAAGCACAGATTTGTCATTACTTCATCTCTGAATTGGTGCTGACATTATCTTTCCTTCTGGAGGGTGGCTACTTTTGTTCCACATGGTCCCTGTATGTGTTGTAAAGTAGCCACTGCTCCAAGCTTGTTTCTGTGATGGACTATAATCACAATACAAATTAGTAAACTAATTGTGAGATTGTACTCCATAATGGGACTGATATACATTTTTGTTAATAGTTAAGGTACTTGAATGCATTTTGTTTAATTTAACTCGTGAGTTTAGTGTCACTTTAATGGCTGCATTGATCTCTGATGTTCAGGAAAGAATACACTTAGATCTGTCGAAGAAGTTTACTTCTGAAAGCATAGATGTGTCTTGGGCTTCCAGCATACATCCCAGACATTTTGAATCACTAGTTGAAGTGATTTTGTAAAGTATAAAAAATCTGTCTTGGACTATGAATAGATGCAGTCAACAAGGAGATGGCAATCAGCATTAATAATCAGTGTTTAGTAATGAACTGCAGACAGAATCAAGACAGCACTTCACAAGGTCACTAGGGGTATACTTCACTAACACTTACATCCATGGCAGTAACCTGCATGGGGTGTTTGGGAATGCCTGTACTGCAGAGCATGGATGATACCTGGCACCTTTACTTACATTTTATACTACTTAGGGGTCTATTCACGAAGCAGCCGAAAGATCTAGCCGTAGCTTCGGCCGATCCTTCGGCTAGCTTCGGCCCCAGGACCCCTTCAGTTCAGTAGAACCGAAGGGCTGCTATACGGGTTATTCACAATAGCCCGTACAGCTCCTGAACTTAGCCGAGCGGCTCAGTCGAGCCGAAGGCATATGCCTCGGTTCGGCTGAGCCGCGCTGAAAGCCGAAGCTGGCCGAGCGGCCGGCCATTGGCTTCTGACAGCTAACCAGGGACACTGATCTCCAGACAGCAAACTCTCCTCTCCCGGCCGCCCAGGAGAGAAATACTGACTTTTCTTTTTTTTTCTTTATTCTGACACGGTGCCGTGTCAGAATATTTTAAAAAAACAAATTTTGCCCATAGGAATGCATTGCTAGATTCCTATTGGCTATTGCAATTTGCATTAGCCAATAGTAAACTAGCATTGCACCCGTCCTCTGCTGATGGACCTGGTGGGGAACTGCAAAAGAGGGCGGGAGAATTGCAGCAGAGGGCAGGTGCAATGCTAGTATACTATTGGCTATTGCAATAGCCAATAGGAATCTAACAATGCATTCCTATGGGCAAAAATGTGTTTTTGTTTTTTTTTTCTATTCTGACACGGCTCCGTGTCAGAATAAAGAAAAAAAAAGAAAAATCAGTGTTTCTCTCCTGGGCGGCCGGGAGCGGGAGACTCCCAGAGCGCCCGGGAGAGGTTTTTTTTCTTCTGCAGAACCGAGGGCCAATAGAAAACTATTGGGCGGAGCTGGCTGTCATTGCTAGCTCCGCACAATCGTTTTCTATTTATTTTTTGGGACTTTTTTAACTATTTTTCTGCTCGGTCCCTCTGAGGGACCGAGCAGAACAGCCGAGCCGAATGCCGCTCAGCGGCATTCGGCTATTCACTCACTGCTGTTCGGCATCTATAAGAATAGACCGAACAGCAGCAAGTAGGATGCAGGAGGTTCGGCTTAGCCGATCCAGATGTTGGATCGGCTGAGTCGAGCTCCTCCTGCACTTTGGGTCTGCCGAACATGCTGACCCGTAGCCACGTGAAGCCACCCGATGTACGGCTGACTTCAGCCGATATACGGCTGAAATCAGCCGTACCAGCCTGAAGGGAATAGCCGAACAGCTCACTTCAGGTCTGTCTTTCACTCGGCTGCCTACGGCAGCTTAGAGAATAGACCACTTACTGTTTCGCCAGTTTTCCCTTTTTTTGTAAAAACAAAAAAGAATTCATCATCAGGTACGTGTTTTTTATTTAAATGTGCCTTGTGCTCTTTTTTAGTATATGTTTTTAAACCACTAAAGGTATTACAGGATTTCAGAAACTGTTAACTAAATGTAGATTTAAATTACAAGGGAAATGTACCGCACAATTACATTTGATGTTATGCATCAGCTTAATTATTCTTCTGTACATGGAATGTTGTACTAATTCTCATATGAAGTTACATTATTCCAGAGCATTGATCAATATTTTATTAATCTGTACATGTGAAGTGAAGATTAACCTCCAATTATTGCAGCTCCAGTTAAAGCAGGTCTGAACACATTTTAATGTAAGATTCCAGTAAGCCTAAACATGCAGGCTTTAATTTCTTAATTTTGTCTAGGTTTTCATACTACAGACTGTAGATATGCATTTTCAACAATTAAATGAAAACTCTATTAATATTATTCACTAAATAAAGTAGCACCTACTCTCCATACTGATTGAATGAGGTTGTTAAGTTTCAGCTGCTGACCTCTGTTATTGAGTTTGGAGAGTTGTGAAAAATTAATGTCCTCATTGATGATAAATCTTTCCCTGTCTAAATGGATCCTCCTATTATGAATGTTATACTATCTCCCACAATATAATAAACGTATATGCATCAAAGTGTCTTCTAAATTATAGAAAACACACTTGAAAACTTGTAGGCTTTTCTACCTTTGTCACCACTGTTGCGATACTACTGCAGCAGGGGTTTCATGAAGATAACTCTTTTCAACAGAATGTGTATTAAGTGACCTATTTGACTTATTCTCGTCTACTGAAAAATGTAATTGTATCTATTTACATGCTGAGTTTATAGCTTGGACATTATTGTTAAAAAGCAAATATACAGTACATTCAACTGAATGCATAAAAGTAAATACTCAAAAAGTAGGATATTTCCCATCAGGAAAATATCCTACTTTTTGGGTATTTAGTTTAAAAAAATAAAAATAGGGCAAGAAAGCATTATTTATATCTAATTATTTGATATTAGCAGCCGTGTTGCACCGCATAAGCCATCAAAAGAAATAGAAGTTTGGATTCAGGGTTTGATTGATTCCATTTGTTGACTAAATAGATTGAGTTGCAAACTTTTGAAGCATGCTGGCCTTTCTTTAGGCAACATCAACATATTGGCCTGAAGAAGAGGCCAGCATGCTTTGAAGGTCTGTACTACAGTCTGTTTAATTAGGCAATATACTGTATTATCCAAAATCTTAACTTCTACGTGATATTGTGTAAAAACTATAATATACTCTAACATATTTGGTATACTTCTAAAAACCAATATAACATTACAAAGATATCTTCATTTGGCATTATATTTGAGTTGCTGTTGAGTAGGAATAGGTGAAGCAATTTAGGCAAAATTGATTTTGTTGAAAAATTAAGCAAATGTTTAGGTGCAGTTTGTTTAAAAAAAATATATATACTGTATATAATTTGGTGAAAATCTTTTTGGGTTGATTTGAAAGCCTGTCAGCAGGGCTGCCATCAGGGGGTATGGCCAATACCCCCCAGGGCTGCCATCAGGGGCCCAGGCAGCCTGGGGGGCC